AATATTGTTCTGGGATCTCAAAGACCATGGCTTTCCTCTTCTGTTAACTCTTGAGCTGCAGCCATCGAGTTATCTTCTACTGTTCCAAAAGACCCCCTTTCTATTCATCACTGGCACCTGTGGAGCTATTTGATCTTTAAGAAAGCTATCAAAGGAATTTTCCTTTGTTATTCTTTCGAATAATTCTGTCTGCTCTTATCAGAAGTTGGTTTTTTTTTTTTTTTGGTCCCATTTGGCTATTGCCCATTAGCTGGTTCCTAGGTTCCTGACATTCCTGCAAGAACTGTGTCTTTCTTATTTATGACTATAAGCAAAGCATCTAGGTTGGGCACAATACACAGCATACCCAAGAAACAGTTATTAAACCAGTTAATGTAGTTTATTCCTTGTTTTCCTTTTGTTCTTTCTGCCCCTGGCACATAGTTGGCACTTAAATGCTTGTTGGTAAATACACACATGTAATAGCCTCAAATATTTTACAGGACCATAAATATTCATACTTCATAAATCAGACAAAACCATCTGAGGCAAACTCAGAAATTTCCCTCGGCAAGTGAACAGCAAACATAATTACATACAAGCACATGTGTGAAAAAGACACAGAACCTACCCCCCCCCAAGGCCAGATGATATTGAGTCACTACCCATAAACTAAACATAAGGGTCTTCAAAAATCAAATCCTAGTTGTTTAAGTACGTTGATTGCAGAGAGATGCACATAGACATGGAAATAAAAGAGGATATAAAATGACAACAAAACTTGCATAAAATTGGTCTCTCATTCATGCATTTAACTATCTAATTCACAAGCTCTAATGTTCCAGCCAAACAGATGTACCAAGTTTATCTCTATAATGGGCCATACTGCTTTTGCACAGTTGGATTCCCTGAGCTGTTTTTCCAGAATGCTTTGAAGTTACAGACTTTTAAAAAAAATCAGAATTAGTAAACAACTCACATATATTTAACATTTTTCTTTTAGCTGTCCCTAAATTCATTTTTCAGAAATTTATGTGATAATACATAAAATGCTTTTTAGCCCTATTCAATCTTGTCTACTGACTCAATAAAGACTGTAATTTTGAATAACAGCTGTACTTCTTAAAAAGACTATGTTTTTATTGAAAATTATACCTAATTTTAACTCCATTGCTTGTGCCTGGACACTGTCATTGACTGGTTCTTTTTTCATTGGCTTTAGGAGCATTTTCTTGATTTATTTTTAATCAAAATGTAAAGATGCTTTTGATATCTTTTAATGAATTCACCTTTTCATTGTTAGAAGTGGAAGAATAGCAACATTTCAAAGATGAAGTAGTTAATCATATGCAATTCAGCATTACCCATCACTAGAAATTTATATAAATCCACAATCAACTTACTGTCTGTACAATTCATTTAAAGGCCCAGTTGGGATGGAAAAGTGCTTAACCTATTTATAACTTTTGATATCTGTGCCATGTTTACAGAACTAGAAACACATGCTAACCATATGGGTAGTTTTACTTATTTTTTTCTCTTGAATGTGCTTCAAAAATTACTAAAATTTGGCTACCTAGAAGCAGAGTTCAGAAATCATGTCAACATCCTGAGGAATTAAGTTGCAATGAATTGGAGGCCTTATTCAAAAGTTCTTTATCTTACCTATTTTATAAAATACACCAGTGGAGACATTCTGAGTAACTTCCATTGGGGAACAGATTATAATCTAATAAGCAAAATATTGCAGTTAACTCCATTCTTGGTTTAGTTAACAATTTAGCATGTATTTATTCATTTAGTTGATCAGTTTTCATTTATCAAACATTTAATATGTATAAGACACTGAGCTGTAGGCAGAAGGACTATAAAGATAAATAAGACACTGTTTTGTGCTCAACGGGCTCAGATGGAGACAAATGGGAAAAGAAAAGGCAATTACACCATAGTTTATAAGTGTTATGATAAATATATCCTTGGAAGCATAGAAAATGGTCCCTCCCAACCCACTAAGTATTTCCTAAAAGAAGTGAAATCAAAGCAAGAATTAGAGGACGCACGGCAACTTGCCATATGAAAGCAGTGAGTGGGAACAGAGATTAAACAGCTTAGTAATAAAGGCATTTCAGGAACTGATAAAATCAGAAGCAATGGCAGAGAATTATGACAGAATCTGGAGTAACTGGAGAATTAAATCTGATGCGTGAGTGGTAAGAAATGAGAATTGAACATTGGATAGGAGCCCAATGGTGGAATATTGTGCATGTTGTAAATAGCTTTTAAACTGTAGGCATTGTGGAGACAAAGGAAATATTTAAAGAATGGGAATTATGTCGTGAGCTCTCCCTGATAGCAAAAACCTAGGTATAAAGTATGTGGGGCATATGTTTGCAGGGGACAAAACTAAAATATAAAGATACATTAACAAAATTCCTTTGGCTCAGATGAGAAATGAGATAGGCCTGAGCTAGAGAGCAATGTAGACTTCTCCACCTAGGTGAGACAAGATTTCCACTTCTAGAAATATTTAGAAGGTAAAATTCACAGGATTTGATTATGGTTGGATACAAGGGATAGAAGGAAGAAGAAATCAAAACTGTTTTCAAAGTTTCTAACCTGATTATCTGAGTAGTTGGTAATGTATCAGCTCAATAGAGAATATGAGAGGCTACAAAGCTTTAAAGTATAAAACAAATCCAATTTTTGGCATGTTGGAATTCATGGTACTTCCGCTATATCCAAAGAGTGGTCTAGTAAGCAGCTGGATATACAAAACTAAAATTAAAGAATGGATGATGTAGATTTGGGGTTCAAGTGGATATTGATGGTTACTAAAATCATGCACAGAAAATTGGATGGATTGGGAAGAAGTCAGGTGAAAATGGAGGTTAATTACATCTAACTATACCAACTTCTATTTTTAGTCAGTGCTCATATCTATCAATGTCTCACAGCTATCTCTATGCATTTATTGACAACTTTGGCACATGGCTCATTTTCTTTCTCTCCAGTCCATGCCGGTCATAATTGCAGATGGCTCATCGAATACTCTGGGCTCTCAGTTCCTTGATCAGCTTCAATAACTCTTAACCTCAAGAATCCATAAATTTCAAACTCTCACACTGATATTTCTGCTTTTGTCTTTGGCCTCATCAAGAATCCTATTCTCTCTCACTACGACTCAATTACTTTCCAGGCTTACTCTTACTGGATTCTCATTATTGGTATTTCTATTTTTTATTGCTCCACGTACCCAAAAAACTACCATTTTAACCATTATCTTTCCAATAATGTAAAATCATTTGCCTTGGTATCCATTTTCATGCATCTAACTATCAACAGCTGAGTCTAATTAGTTTTTATTTTTTTAATTTATTTGGTAAACAATTATATGATCCTTACAAACGTTATTTTATATAAGAATTTAATACGTTTTGCCATTTTACTTCTTATAACAAAGCCATAAGATGGACACAACTAAGATGCTCCCTGCAAGAAGAACTCATATCGTCATACAACTTGGTGATCTCCAACTTGCTTTATAATATTATTCTATTTTACTGACTCTTTTTGGAATGCTCTGTATGGAGAAATCAGCTGCCATGCTGTGATAAAGTCAAACTATCCTGTGAAGAGAGATCATAAAAGAAAACTGAAGCTACCAGCCTTCAGCCAGCATCAGCCACCAGACATGTAAGTGAAATGCACAAGCCTTCAGATGAGTTCATTTTCAGACTTTAAGTTGTCTAGTTGAGTCCTCAGACATCACTGAATAAATACAAGCCATCCTCCCAATGTCTTGTCTAAATTTCTGACCCACAGAATCGGTAACTTTTAGAGGAACTTGTTAGGGAGCTAGTCACTGGAATATTACCAATAACAAAGTTTATTGCCAAGTCCAGCAAATATATCTCAAGTCTTAATTTTGCTTGATTTTTTGAAATCTTTAACATAGTTGACCAAACCATGCATCTTTAAATATTATCTTTATTTGGTATGTGTATCACTGCATAGTATACATGGTACTTGGATCTTTCTCGTCACTCCTTATAAGTTACCACTAAAAGCCCCTCTACCCATTCCTTTTCTTAGGGCTCTGTCCTAGACCCTCTCTGGCCAGTAGTCTCAATCAGGAATATTCAGTTGAGAACAAATACTCAAATTTAATGGAAGATCTAATTGCAAGTGTGAATAAAAAATAAGATGCTATTGAGAGTTGTAAATATTAATGCTAAAGTGTCATGTACCTTCATTGTGACACATATTTCTCCTCTTCAGTACAGGTTTGTAAGAAACTATCAATCCCCTAAATATTTTATTATTTCATTCTGTGCAATGGCTGAACTCTCAAATACTGAGTTCAATAATTATTATTGTATTCTAAAATGGTAACAAAGAATTAACTAGACAACTTTAAAGAGTAGGGTAGATTACATATTGAATAACAAAACAAAGACATTCTTTAGAATGTAATAAAATTGTAAGTTAAGTCACTGGTAAAGATTACATACTAAGATGAAAGATAAAACAAAATTGCTTAACAGAATCTTAATCAAAATTTTTCATTGTCAATGAATATTTTTAATACATTAAATAATGTCTCTGAACAAAGAACAAGTCCTAACATGTCTTACATATGTAAATAATTAAATAGTATCTGCTCTGGTAGTAAATTGTTTCATCTTCATAAGGCTATTTCTCAGAATGTCAGAGACAGGAAAAAAAATTAGGGGGGAAAGAAGGGAAATCTGATCTTGAGTTTCTTGTGAACCTCACCTCTGACATTCATTTCTGGCTTTGTTGATGAAATTGAACCTACATCAAAAGATAATGAACCATTTTTGCAGGACACCTGCTGTGTTTGAGATCCTCGAGGAAAGCGTTGGAAATGTTCTTTTCTGAGCATTGCTGTGAAGACCCTTTAGAACACTTATTGATGTCAGATACTGAACATTCTTAACTGATTCATGGCATTTGAAACATATCCTCTTTTCGTACCAAAATGTTTTTTTTCTCCTTACCTTGCTGTACAAAGGATCCATAGACGAACCACATGGAGTTGTAGAGAGTAGTAGATGTCATTGATCCCATTTGTAATCTTGGGGGATTAAGCCAATTTAGGAGGTAGACCAGAAGACCCACCAGAAGAACAGTGCCAGCAATGCAGGCCCATAAAGAGAGATCAAATGGTGCAAGACAGGCAAACATATCCACTGTCTTTTCAGCCCTTCGAAGTAGTACCCCTACTGAGTAGTCCATGTAGCGTGTTGTAAAGTCCACCACATTCTCACGATCTGGGGTGATGGTTAAAGCAGAAATCCCAATGTCAGCTCTCTGAGAAATTGAAAAGAGAAAATAATAAATTAATAATGTGGAAAACAATTTGATTTGTGGTGCTTCAGCTTGCCTGAAGAAAAAGAAAATAGATACTTCAGGCAACATCTTTAGTCTTTTTATATAAACTGAAAAACACTGCAGATATTTCTTCGAGGAGAACTCTGTGTAAATTTTGCATTTCTCACTACAAATCTTGCCCCACCAGAGTCAGATAAATGACCTTGTTCATATTATCAGTGCATGTGAAATCAGTGAAGAATATTTCAAACACAGATAACACCTGAAGGAAATTGTCTTTTTTCCGTGGGTCTTTTTATCAAAGCCATCATTAACACAGTAACAAAGGCAAAACTTATTCTAAGGAATTCTTTCTGAGAAAATGTTCCCAAGATATTTATTAATTTCTTAAGATGTAAATTATTATATAGGTTATTAAAAAAAACCCTCAACAGAGCATTTACTCTTCATTTAGATTTATCTGCATCAAAATTTATATTATTGAGCTCTAAATGTATTACAGTTAGAACATCCATATACCACTAAGTTATACTGTCATTTGCGAAAAGTCTCTACCATGATTTTATTCTATAAACCTCAGGAATATTTTAATGAAAACTTAAAAGATTACGGAGACATAATTCTTCTTGGAGTAACAACTCTTCTTTTCAATGTGTATCTCCTTAGATTCTCAGTGGTAGCGTTAAAAACGGTAGTACATGCTATTTTACTTATTTGAAGCACATAGCAATTATTGTAGGGAGAGCATAGAACAAATGACTTATGGAACACATATTTAAATATCCAGAAGATGTGTTTTCTTTGAAATAATGATCCATGGCTGTGATTAAAGCTGTGGGAAGCTCCTTCCTGACAAATAAAAATAATACTAAATTGTGTGTTGAACATTTTACTATTATTTTTCTTCTTATTGTTTTATGAAGGAAGACTGAAACTAGTTTTATTGCTTTTGGACACCAAACAGAACAGAACAAGATAAAACAAAACAAAACAAAACAAAACAAAACAAAACAAAACAAAAACATGTAAAGTAACATACCAAATGGAATGCTAAACCGGCTCAAAAAAATCTAGTCTTTGAAGTAATAATGGCCTCAAAAATATTCTATATAAATGTCAGAATCATGTGTGTTTGTGTGTGTGTATATATATATGTACATATATGCATACATTTGTACATATATATCAGTGTATATACATTTGTTGCTAAGCCCAGTGCTAAGTATTTAAACAAATTTTCTTATTTGAACCTTACAATATGTCATGAATTATGTGTTTTCCCATCCATTTTGTAGAGAAATCACAAGAATTAAATAACTTGTTTAGTTCTCATTATTAATAAGTATAGTGGTTAGTACTAATGCTAGGTTCTTCTTACTTCGATCAGTGCTCATAACTACTTACCTTATTGCAAAAAATCTTTCATTTTCCAAATGATACATACGGTAGGTGGGTAAAGTAACTGGTTTTAGGACAAGTTTTATCTTAAGAGAGTCATAAATTTTGTGGGTTTTTTATTGTGCTATTTATATTGCAACAAGGCCATATTAGTATACACAGCATGAGTTTATAATTATTAACAGAGAGGTATTAAACTTAATAACATATCTGAAAATAAACTTTCAGAGAAATAATTAATATTGCTTTCAGGTTCATGTATGTATGTATGTATGTATTTTTAGGTAGGTATCACACTCAGCGTGGAGCCCAATGTGGGGCTTGAATTCACAACCCTGAGATCAAGACCTGAGCTGAGATCAAGAGTTGGACGCTTAAATGACTGAGTCACCCAAGAGCCCCTCATTTATCTATTTCCTATAGGTACATAATAGGAATTTGGTCTTTCAGATTTAAAATCTAACCTGGATCCTTATTTCTTTAGTTTTATCTTTTCCTAGCTTCAGTTTATCTATTTGTGAAATGAATGTAACTATATTTAGTGTGACTATTGTGAGTGGATTCCTATATCTATATCCTAATGGTAATAAACATCTCTCTAAAATTCAATTAGGCTTTCAGAAGTTGCCTTTACTTTTTCAGAACATTACAGTACGATGGATCAGTAATTTAGTAATTGATATACTAGTGGGTTAAGCATTTTATGACTCAATCGCAGTCAGAAAAGCTCACCTATGGAAGAACTTACTGACAACAAGTTGACTACTTCTAAATGTTCATTAATATTTTTCTGATAAATAATTAAATGTTAACACTTAAATGATTATGAATTGGAATGGTCACATACTAATTCTACTAATAGATAACTTTCACAAAGTGAATTTCTATAATGGAAAAAAGGTATCTAGGGAATAATGTGCATTTTCTTTTTGAAAAAGGAAACTTTATTATATTGTATGTGCTAAAGTATTTAGTAAATATAATAATTATTTCTCATATTTCTATGGAGAACCAACTTCCTAAATTCTGGTCTGCTTTTAACACTTGGCTATTCTGTTTTCAAGGAGAAATTCCCAGTCTTCCTGTGGAGGTCATATCAGAATCATATGATGGGCTTTTCAAACTGCACAAATACATTTATATACAGACACAACATAACATATGCACACATTTTCCCATCTCTGTTAAAACCCAGGCTTATTTCCACCACTCAGCATATATCCTGCCCCCAGCCTATTCTATGTAACCTATATTTACAATAAAGAGCTGTCTTCCTTCCAAAAAATCAACCCTCCATTAGTAAACTTATCAACCAATCCCCTCTTTCAGATATTTAAACTCCTGTCTTTTATATATTAAACATCATCCTATCAACTGTAAATTTCTTATGAAAAGATTCTGTAACACTTTGCATAAAAAATCAACAAAAAATGAGGAAAGCCTGTTCTCTCTCTGACTTCTGAATCTCAGTTATTATGTTTTTCCCTCTCCCCTTTTCACTATCAATTTTCTTTAAATATTTGTCCCTATTTCCAAATCTCCTAGTAAGTCTGGGAAGATTCTTTTGTACCTAGTTTGCTAATGGGACACAGCACTTCTTAATTTTTGCATTACTGAGTCAAATGGATACAATTTAGTGTTCATCTGCTTAGGTTTCTTTACAACATTTGACAGTGATGACTGCTTTCTCCATTATAAACACTCTTTTCCTTGGATTTCATGAAATGATGTAAGCTTCTTTTTCATTTTATTTTTTAAGCTTATGTTGGCATTCCTGTGGACTTGGGCTTTACAGACTTCTCCCATTTGATCTTCCACCTAGGCAATCCCATTTATATCCATTACTTCCATTGTCTCCATTCATACATCAGATTTACAAATTTATATTTCTAGATATAGATCTGAGGTCTGGAGTCCAGACTTATTTATGTAACTACATAATTGATACTTCTGTTAGAAGTCTCAAAAATACCTCAGACTTAACATGGCCAAGACCATACTCATGAGGTTCAACTCTAACCAGTCCTCTCTCAGTGTCTCCTGCTTCAATGAATATCTTTTCATATATGTCTTAAATCTTGGTGGTCTCATCATCTTTTTCAATCTTACACCTCTTATCTTATGTGTAACTATTGATTCTACCTCTCGGGAATCCGAATATGCATCCACTTCTCTACTATTGCCAGCTCTCATCATTGCTTTTATGGACTTATGGGTCTATCTGAAAATTACCTTTTCTTTTCTCTTATCTCCCTAATGCAGTCAAAGTAATCTTTCTGTTGAGCAAATCTAATTCTGTCCCTTGCACAGTTTAAAGATTTTCAATACATTTACATTGCTCTGAGGAAAAGGATTCAAATCTTTAACATAACCAATACATCTTTAGATAGATTATCCCCAACCTACATCAACATATATATACTGGACCATTTTTCTTTCCAGCACTTTTTCCTGATGCATGGTCTTTGTACATGCTTTTTCCACTGAATGTATTGGCCTTCCTGAAAATTCTTCAAGTAAATTCATATTCATATTCATAAATCAACTCAATTATCACTTCCTCAGAGAAGCTATCCATGACCCCCTTTGATTAGATTAATGATCCTTGTTATTTATACTATCAGAAGCTTGTCTACCTCACTTCTCTAGCAGTTGTGACAGTTGTAATTTTACAAATATTTGTGTGATTCTTGGAATAATGTCTGACTTTTATACTAGACTGCAAGCTCCATGACTAGTTTTTATTTATTTATTTTTTATTTGACATATTCTTTGTATCTACCATATTTATCTGGCATAGATTCAGGATCAATAAAAACTTGCTTCATATATAAATGAATAAAAATGTTTATAAAGCATTCACTGGATGCTTATTATCCAATTCTTATGTCCCTTCTATTCCTTAGCATTCCCAACACAGAGAGATTTTTACAGAATAAAAAGAAAATAGTAATATAAAAATGTACTAAGTTTTATAGCAGTAATAAAAGATTAATATCTTAAAGAATAATTACCTCAATAATTAAATAAGGTTATTGGTTTATTAACATGTTTATATTTATGTTACTTTTCATAACTAAGGTAATCAGGAGTCTACTATAGTACGTTCAATATATTACAAAATATTAATATATGTCAAATATTTAATGAACAAATAATTATTCAAATTTTGGTAAGAACTAGTATTAAAACTGGAATATAAAAATTATTTTCAAAATATTCTAATTACACAGTCAAAATGTTTTCATTGTAAGGAGAGGGAAATTTTGTATTATTTCAAGTCTTGGAAAGGAGATGGGTGGACATTACAAGGGGGCACGGGTGATAAGGCATACAGTAATTGAATCTTAGAAGCATAAACTTAGAGAGTTTGGAGAACATTTGTTCTAAATTTAAGCTAAAAGTCATGGTCATATATCACAAATAATCATCTAATTTATGCTTGACCATAATGCTAGGCACATTATATTAATGGTAGTAATAGTTACATATTTATTTAATGCTTGGTATATATCTAGTGCCATGTATATGTTCCAAATACATTCTTCTTTTAATATTATAAATCCAATCGCATTTTTCAA